AGAAACACCCACAAACACAGACCCACCTCTGGGTATGACCATGCTAATGGAGGACGGCCACGCAGCCTCCATGAAGTCCAGCAGCAGAGGGCTCAGCAGGTGTCGCACCGGTTCAAGCTGTTTGATGGAGGAGATCCACAGGGACATGGGTCGGTCCTGCGCCTGCTTCTTCACCCTGAAATGAATCAGAGGTCAGAGGTCAACCAGAGGGAATCACGAAATAATGTAGAGAGGGACGCATTCATTAAAATGGAAACTCACTTGTAAGCTTTGACCACTGCGTCTGGCCTGTTGCAGGCCGCCACCAGCACATAGACGGTGTCAGTCGGCATTCCACATATGCCACCATTTTTCATGATTTCTGCAGAGGGGAAGAGAAGAAAACAAATGTCACATCAAGAACTTTAACAGCAGTTTATTACAGAAATCAACATAATTGTCTTTTATATCTCACCTGCAATCTGCTGCACAGACGTGGCCTTGCGGGCTGGTACATGAGGACAGATATCTGCCCCTCCTCCTACTCCACTCAGCTTCACTAGAGGCTTTCCTAAAGGGATCTGGGGGGACTGGAAGGTGCTGTTGAAAATGTTTGCCAGGAAACAATAAAAACTGATGAGGCCAAAGATGATGGTGACTCCAATGTCATAACCAAAAGGCAATGCGCCTACTGCATCCAGCAGGAAGCTGATGAGGATGAGCTGGAAGGTGAGTGCGTAGATGAACCAGGTGACATTTAGAAAGAGCGCTGCAGCTGTCACCAAACAGTTAAACAGCATGAAGCTAATGATCCCGACAGCCAAATTAAAGCCTCTGGTTTCACCGTACAGCCCGCCGTATCGTGTCAACCCCCACACTGTCCACATCACCCCGTAGAGAATAAAAACTGTGCTCTCAAAGGTTTTACCTCGAGCAAAGGCTACTGAACCGCACAGCAGCTGCAGTGCCCCACCAGCCATCACCACCCAGGGCAGAACCAGCACAGACAGAGGATTTCTGTCGCCAACTGTGGCTGTGATGGCAAAAGCAGCCAGCACATTGCAGGCGTGGCCCAACACCTCTGCATCTGCATATTTAGAGTAGCCCAG